GTTCATTTGTGCCACTAAGGATCTAAATTTGCTACTGATTAGTGATTACATAATTTAATATAACTCCTGACTTGTAAATACAATTTTTATAAAATGTTGACTGAATATTACCTTGCTCATACTTAATAGATACTAATGTACATCCATAGTTTTTTGGGTGAAATGTTTCATATTATAACATTTATAACCTTATAAAGTCTTGAAGTTATATTACAAGGTTATAAAATATTTTTAAGTGTAATATTATTTAATTATTTATTGTATTGACAAACTATATTTTAGATAATCAAGAAAATTGAAACAAAAGAATTAACTGCATATTAGGACCAATGATATGTATTGAAAACTAAAAATGTTGCTAATGTTCATAAGTTGATACATTATACATTAGCTAATATTGGATTTTAATATTTCAACAGGCAACAAAATTAAAAATATGGTTAGTATACTTTGTACTTACTTATTTTAAGGGAAATATTATTCAATTTGGTATTCAAACTAATAGTTTTTATTGTACTTTTTTCAGATACCTATCAATTTTGAAAGAAGTGTAAAAAAAAAAAAGATTCGGACCAACAATCAAGAGGAAAACTATTACCAATCATGAACTCTACTATAACATACCATTTGGATGATCCTGTATGTATATTAAAATTATATTCATATTGCTATCTTCAAATACATTTGCAAATGATAACAGTAATAAATAACAATATTGCGTCACATATTGGATTTTAATATTTCAACAAACTACAAAATAAATTAAGTATGTTGGTATAAATCTTTAACTATAATGTTATTTAATTGTATTGAAAAACTGTTTTTTAGATGATCAAGTTAATTTGAAAGAAGTGGACAACAATTTAGGTGGCCTAACTGCATATAACCAATAATATGTATTGAATACTAATAATTGTATACTGTTTGTTTTATAATTTCATAATATTTTTTAATAATGTATTTAAACGAGGCGACAACATCAATCATTAAGACTCAAAAGATATGTATGTACATAATAATATACTGTATATTTGTATGCTGTGTACTTACGTTTGATACATCATACATAATATACATAATATGTAGATTGTGTAATTCAAATAAAGTATATTTCAATTAATACAAATTACTAATAAATAATATGCTTTTCAATATTAAATAATAAAAGAAATGGGGGACGAGGTGGCCGAGCGGTCTAACGCGTCGACTGCGGCGCTGGCAGTCGCGGGTTCGCCTCTCGACCACTGGGCGGCATTTTTCTCCGGGCAAGTCACGGTGTCCGGAGTACAAGTGCCGCCATCCCCCAACCCGGGGCATGGCAGAAACCTACGGGTGCCCCAATAAAAATTCTGCCAACACACAAACACACACGTGTATCAACCTACCCAATCTAAAAACCTACAGTTCCCTACCAACACCCAATGGCCTATGTTGCCGCGGGTTATCCAATAAAAAAAAAAAAAAATAAAAAATAAAATAAATATATTTTTACTCTAAATTATATTTTATTGCTTAGTAAAATGTAAATAACTTATATTATTTCTGTAGATGATTGGTGTTGTTGCCTATTTATAGCTATTACTACTGAAGTAATAAATTCATGTTTGAATAATATTATAAGGGCCACTTTTAAATTTTACTATTGTTTTAAGTCTAGGGGTTATGGAGATTTTTTTCTCATTTTTTGAATACATGTTAATCTTTACTCATATTTTGCATAATTGCACTACGAATATTTAGATTTAACTGTATCATCAAATTTGAAATAGATTTTTCATGGTCCTGGACTTTAAAATGATGGTTAAAATTATATAGTGGTTAATTATAATAATAATTTAAAGGTACATTCATGACTATAGTACAGCCAGCGAAAAATGAGCCACGACGGCAACATTACTAGTAGTGTATTTTAGCGTAATCAGGGGTTCTCCGTTTGAAACTATTGGTGTCCCTACATTTTATTTTACGATTTTTCAAACCCCTTTAGGCCTTGAGTAAAATTTACTACAACACGTTTTTTAAATATATTTATAGTAGCACTGACTATATGATAAGGATCCATGACCAAATCAGTATGACTACTATTTGAAATTAATTTACGTGGCAAATAGTTGTAGAAGCCCTGACGAAATTCGGCCACCAGGAGCATTGGTATCGCTGCTGATTTTTCGCTGGCCGTACTATAGTGCCTGATTTTGTCCAAAAATTATTCTAGAATATGAACATATTTATGTATCAAAAATGTATTGTATGCGAATATTTTCATGCATAAAAATACTTTGAAAATTGTATAAAGTATTTATTATGTACAAATGGAAATGTCATTAATGTAGAGAATTATAAATTTATGATTGTGTTAATTGTACTGAGCAAAATTTAAATTATTTTATTTGATGTTTATAAAATATGCTACTTGTAAATTGTAATCAATATTGTAACTATCTGCAAAATGTGGAACTTAAATTGAATTTTACTCAAATATGCAAAAAAAAAAAATATATTAGCTACAGAAATAGATTTATGCATTAAAAAACATTGATTTTAACCAGAATTATTTTAAGTGTAGAAAATTATACATGTATCAATTATGTAAAAACTGGGCCACTATGACAGTAAATTGTTTGAAATAAATTATGTTTAACAATAATTATTGATTATACATAATATACTTAACCCACCATGACGTGTCCAAAAGATATTATATAATATATTATTATATTATTCAATGAAAAAAAATAAGATATTTACAAAGAACTTCGTATTTATATTTAAAGAAAAACTAATATATTTTATTAATTAGGTACTTATACATATTAATATAGAGGTAACATTAGTCGCCCGTATGAAGACATCAATAGTTTACGATGCCACGGATTATTTCCATAAATAATAATACCTACTCATTAGTTATTACTTGTTAGTACTTATTCCTTATTTTCCATTAGTACAATAATGATTGGAATAGTAATAAATAATAATATACCTATGACTATTAATTACAATTTTATTCAAGTGACTAACACTTATCACTGTTAACTCAATTTTTAATTTTTAGTATAATATATTCATAATCAACTTAATAACTTTTAACTACAATAACTGAATAACCATTGACAATGACAATTATAGTCAATAACCAATGTCATACCTACCACGATGACACGTAAATGATAATAACTAATAAGTAATAACTAAATAACGTAAATATTTTAATTTCAAATTTGTAATAATCATAGACCATCTTATCACGTATCCAGGGGGCGTGGCATACGTTATCAATTAAATATATCATATCATATTAAAGTATTAAACAATGGAAATAACCCGACCCCGCGCCGAATACCCTGCCAATTAGGCGGAAACAGTTTTTAAATACGGGTTTAACATCAAGTTGGTGTACGGAAACAGTTTCAATGTTCGGACTTCAGATCATAGGTAAACACTCATTGATATATTAAACTAAAATAATGTTTAATATCTATGTAAACACTTCACCCATCAGCTGATTGAGTTTCGCTTCAATACATATAATTGTTCTATGATCTTATACAACTCATATTACCACTCTTATACCATCTTATACCACTGACGAATTAAGATAAAGGACAGGTATATGGGATAACTAGATAACGCTGTAATCGTATGGATACCCCACCATAATATGTACATGACATTTTTGGTCACCATTTCCAGTCCATAATTTTGTATTAGATAATAGCAGGTATAAAAACCCTGGGTTGAACTTTGAACGATATCGTATTTATTAGTTTTAACTTCTGGTCTTTACGAACGAAAAATACTATGTACTTATAAACAGTAGCACAGTTACTTATGATAAACCACCAAACTTTGAGGCACTGTATCTCGCTAATGGATTAACATAAAATGAAAATTTTAACGTTATAATTCATAAAAAAAATAGTTTTATTGTTTTATAAGACTTTTATTATGGGTTGCCGTTTGAAAATCAAAAGTTGATAATAGTTTGACCAATAAATATAAGGGTGAAAAAAATTAAAGTGTTATACAAATGTAGAAAAGTATGCAACTAAAATTTTTAGAAAAAAAATGTTGGTAAAATGTCTATACTTTCAGAAATAATGAGTGTTCTTCGATAAAAAAATCACCCTGTATATAAATAGTTTAGTTTTAATATAATTATAATTTGTACTTTTAGATTGGTGATGGTGACGAGTTTTCTAGTCAATACTGTCGACTCTGACGAAATAAATACATCAGAGTACTTTTCATATAAGCCTTATGGAGTTGGCAGGGGAATACAATATGAGAGTTTGGGGCCAGTTAGATTAATAGGGGCTCAATACAGTCTTGTAATGTTTTTCTCATTAAAAGAATATAACACGAAATATGAACTATTGGGGGAAAAAATAAAAATATAACAAATTTATGTACTGACCAGAAACACCAAGGTCTGTGTGGGAAATATCAAATAGTAATTACAGATTTATATAATGAAATAAAAAAAAACATCGTGTATAGTGATAACATTTCTTCTGTGTACTTATAATTTTTTCTTCAAGAATACATTTTAAATCCATCCGTGCTGTGTTGCGTAATATTAATTACCATCTCAACTTCAATTGTGAGTGTTTGCAATCTTCCATATACCGGATTTCAGAATTTTTTTTTGTGGATTTTCGTTGCACTAACATTTTCATTTTTGGTGAGCAAAATTTTTTCTTCTTATCACAAATCATCGTTCACAGAATTCAACAGCTGTTATTATCCCGAACAACAATTGATATTTGGAGACTTTAACGAACGTTTATAAAGTGAATTACTATTATTATCAACCTAAATATTATACATAATCTACAACAGCTGTTAATCTCACCAACACCAAATTATCTGGAGACTTAAACGATCGTATATGAGATATTATTAATTAACCATATTCTCGTTATTCCACTTCTGGCTTCTAATACTCCAGTTACCCATCAACACTTATCTTTAGATTTATTTTTATTGTTATTATTAAAATGGAAGGTAAAATCGACAACTTAATTAAAGCTGTGAGTGAAATCAAATCCACGCAAAATAAGTTGGTCTCAATGATGAATTCACAATCTGAAAAAATGTCAAGCCTTACCTCCAAAGTGAATGATCTTACATCGAAATTAGACATCCTATCTTCCGATAATGAATCATTAAAACTTCGAGTATCAACCATCGAAGATAACCTTAACAAAACGAATATCTCAAATTTTTCCTCTTCCAATAATCTAATAGCTGAAATGCTTGATATCCAGAGTCGTCAAAAAAACATTTTATTATTTAATCTTTCGGAACCTACTTCATTATCTAATGACTCGAATGTAGATGACCTTACTGCAATAACTAAGATTTTTGAATTTCTTGGATTACAAATTAAACCAACTTCTATATCTCGATTGGGTTCTCGTTCTTCAACTGCTTCCAAGCCAAGGCCAATAAAATTAACACTTTCTGATCAAAAAGAAGTTTTCTCCATATTTGCTGCTCAGAATAAACTGAAGACACATCAAGCTTGGACTAATCTTCGTTTCTCCTCGGACAGAACTAAAGCTCAACGTGACTTTATGATCCATCTACGGAATGAACTCCTTCGACGCAGAGAAAATGGTGAACCAGAGTTAATAATTAAATATGTTAAGGGTACTCCTGCCATTATAAATTCAAAAAACGTATAAATGTCCCTGGTGCACAGTTTGATATTTATTATCAAAATGTCAGGGGATTAAATACCAAAATTAATCTTTTAAATACTAATATTCCTGTTTCTGATTTTTGTGCAATTATTTTCTCTGAAACATAGTTACGTTGTGATCTTAATTCCTCGGAACTTGGTTTCTTTAATTATTCCATATATAGATGTGACAGATCTAGTAATACAAGCTGTTTAACCAGAGGCGGTGGCGTCTTAATAGCTATCAAGAATAAATTTTTCTCAGCAAAACTAAATATAGTTACAGGTTCATTAGAGTTGATTTTTGTTTTAATTAAAGTAAATGACAGAAAAAAAGTAATTCTTAGTTGTGTCTATTTCCCCCCAAATTCTGATTCCACTCTTTACCAATCATACTTTAATATTATTGAGGATGTAATTGTATTATATCCTAATACAGATTTGCTTCTCTTCGGGGATTTTAATCTTCCCCATTTAAATAAAGCTATATCAAACCCAAATCTTAACCTTGCTTCATCTGAATCCATCTTTCTTTAAAACATTTCTTTGCTCAATCTCTTTCAAATTAATTCTATACATAACAGCAAGAACTCCATGCTCGATTTCATTTTATCTATTTCTCCTGCTTCTAATGTTTCCTTACATAATGACCCGATTGTTTTAATAGACGCTTACCACCCTCCTTTATACATTAATTATTTGTTTGATAAATCGTTTTCTTCTCTTACTTTTTCCGAAACATCCAATGACTGGAAAAAAAGTGATTTTAGTTCCATCCTCTCATTTTTAGATTCTATTGACTGGATCTCTATTTTCAGTAAATATTATGATATTTCTTCAATGTTACATGAATTTTATTCCATTTTATTTTCAGCTATAGATTCTTTCATACCAAAAAAGAAAATTGTTTCATCAAAATTTCCTATCTGGTACTCAAAAGACTTAAAATCTTTAATTAAACAAAAAAAATTACTGCATGTTATATATAAAATGTCTAAATCTAATTTGGATTATTTAAATTTCTCCTCTATTCGATCCCTTTGCAAGCAACGTAGTAAAACTGATTATGCCTACTATTTAAATAAAATTCAACTTTCTCTAAAATCTAACCCTAAACAATTTTGGTCCTTTATGAGAAATTTAAAATGTTCTTCAGGTCTACCGAATTCTTTATCCCTTAATAATCTAATAGCTGATAACGGTCAAGATATAGTAAATTTATTTAGTAGTTATTTTGCTTCTACTTATAAAAAAGTAAATGCTCCTGCTCTTTCCACTCCTGTCATAAAATCTTTTCAATCAATAAATAATTGTGACATAAACCTTCTTGATGTCTTCAATGAACTCGACACTTTAAATTATAAAACCCCTACTAGCCCAGATGGCATTAATCCTTTATTTTTATATACTTGTAGATTCGTTCTCTCTGCCCCCATAACTTTTCTTTTTAACACCTCCCTTTACACGAGTTGCTTCCCATCAATTTGGAAAAACACATTCATTAATCCTATTTTGAAAAATGGAGATAAATCTTTAATTTCTAACTACCGCCCTATATCTATTATTTCTATCATCCCTAAAATTTTCTCTAAAATTATCAATTCTAAAATCTCTCCTCTCCTTAATAATATCCTGGTTCCTCATCAACATGGATTCCGTAAAAAAAATCTACAATCACTAACTTAATCACTTATAAACATTCTCTCTTAAATTCTTTTTCAATTAATAAACAAACGGATGTTATTTATACAGACTTCGAAAAAGCATTTGACAGAATTAATCATTCACTTTTAATTAACAAACTTAAAATGATTGGTTTTGCTGATCCGCTATTATCCTGGCTAAATTCGTTTTTAATCAATAGATCACAATTTGTCAAATTCAAAAATTTTATTTCTGATCCTATTCCAGTTATTTCAGGTGTCCCCCAGGGTGACCACCTCTCACCCATTCTGTTTAACCTATTTATTAATGATATTGTTTTAGCTTTAAATTATTCAAATATTCTACTCTTCGCTGATGATGCAAACATTTTTAAATTAATAAGTTGTCAAAATGATTCACTTCTCTTACAAAAAGATTTAGATAATATTAACCATTGGTGTAAATCAAATGGAATGTAGCTTAATTTAAATAAATGCCACTCTATAACCTTTTCTATGAAACATAATCCTATTTTTGTTAATTATAAACTTGATAATCATTCATTAAATCGTACATCCAATATTAAATATCTTGGTATAATTTTTGACTCAAAACTCTTATTTAATTTACATATTTTCAAAATAAAAAAAAATCTTTAGCTGTCTTTGGTATGATTAAAAGAAACTGTTTAAATTTTAATGATCCCAGTACCTTTAAAAGTCTATACTCATCTCTTATCCGTCCTCATCTGGAATATGGGTCTATAATATGGTAAACAAGGACTTCATCTCATAATAAACAAATTGAAGAAGTGCAAAATAAAGTTTTAAGATATATTTCCCATAAATGCAATATATTTAGACTGCCCCACTCTGGTTATGATATTATTCTTAATAAATTAAATTTAAAAACATTAAAAGATAGAAGACAAAATTCCTACTCTATATTCCTTAATAAATTATTAAACAACGAAATCGACGATTCCTTCATCCTTAGCCTCATATCATTCAAAATTAACAATCACAATACTCGAAACAAAGATCTTTTCTTTATTCCACATTATTCAAAAAATTACATGTCACATTCTCCAATTAATATATTATTATCTGCCGGGAATACCTTAAATAGCAATATTTTATTTCTGTAATTCTAGCTATTACCTATCATCTATTTAATTTTATTTATTATATTATTTTTATTTTAAAATGTTACTGTTATCCTACACTTTTGTTTTTTTTTTCTTCTTCATAAATATCTTATTATCAACATAGTTGATACCTATATATATTGTATGATCATTGGTCATTATTGTTATTGTATTATTTCTATTTTTAGGAATCTATTATTACTAGTATTATTTAAATATTAAGCATTCACTTGTTATTTGGGCTAACGCCTGTTATTATTATAAATAAATAAATAAATAAAATAACTAAACAGAAAGAACGTATGTATATGACACTAGGAAGTACTATACAGGAAGATAAACGAAGAAAGAAAAGGGGATTAATAAACATTATTTGGCGTATGTGATGATAAATGCACTAAGAAAACACGAGAAGCTATAAAAAAACGGAAGAATCAGGAACTAACATATTGCACATAATGGAAACCCAAACTACTGTAGTAAAATCAACAATAAGAAGTATTGATAATACAATAAATCAAACCGAACAATTATACAATAATATTACGGAAAAGGAACAACAACTATATGAAAAAATGTTAAAAATACAGAACAAAACAAACGATATATTAGATTTACTAATGAAAAATGAAATACATAATTTATATACAATAATTACAAATCAATATTCCTACGAAACAGAAACATTAGGACAAATAGTAACTGCCGCTAGAGAAGGAATGATACATCCAAGTCTTATGACACCGCAAGAACTAGCATCAACATTAAAAACAATAGAACAAACTATAAAGAAAATATATAGTATTCCGATGGGAACAAGGAGATGGGAACTAAATGAATTTCAAAAAATTACAAAAATAAGAATCTACGTATAGTAGAAAAATGTCCCTTGGTGGAATAAAGATTGTCATGAGGCCATACTAAATTACAAAAAGAAACTTAACCGCTATAAAAAAAACCAAATCATGCCAGGACCATATACTCTTGAAAAATGCAAGAGCCAGATCTCGCTTTATTACCAAGAATAGCAAAACTCTTTCATGGCAAGAGTTCACTTCCTCCATAAATCAAAAAGCATCACCAAAAATAATATAGAACAAAATCAACTCATTAAAAGGAAACAAGTTCAAAACAATTCCTGGCATATTATACTACAACCAAGACAAAATTGTCTCTACTCCCAATGCCTCTGAATCTTTTGCACATTTCTTTCAAAAGAACAACAGCGATGAAAACTACGACCTCGACTTCATTTCATACAGAAACGCCAACAATAAGGTTCCAGAAATTAGTCAAACAAATGCAAACTACAACCTTTGCTTTGATATGTCAGAACTTACCTCAACATTACAATCTTGCACCAGCAAGAGCCCTGGGCCTGACAATATACCGTACATTTTCCTCAAAAACTTACCTGTAATAGGAACTCAAACACTTCTTCATATATACAACTCCATATGGACAAAAGGTTCCTTCCTAATCAATGGCGAAACGCTAATGTAATACCCATCCCTAAACCGTTTAAAACCAAATTCGAAATTGAGAATTACAGACCAATATCGCTGATTAGCACTTTAAGCAAACTTCTTGAAAAAATGACAAATAAACGTTTAATTTGGGTCCTTAAATCAGAAAACCACCTTGCCAAAGAGCAATGTGGCTTTAGACGTAACCAGTCGACACTTGATGCGCTATCCTTAATACACACAGATATCTGCTCCTCCTTTAGGATCAACCAGCACCTTATTACAATAGCACTTGACATAAAAAAAGCATATGATACTGTATGGAAAAACCGAGTGCTATCAATACTTCACAGTTGGGACCTCAATGGAAACCTCCTAGAATTTATAAAAAATTGTCTAGCCAATCGTAAATTTTGTGTAAAAATCAATAACCACCTATCTTCCTCTCATGATATTGTTAATGGACTGCCTCAAGGATGTCATCAAAAGTGAGACCCAGAATTCGAATATTGCTGGTAAATGTCAGAGAGGTATTCATGAAAGTGATAAGGGGTAGAGGGTCTTTTCTCCTTTTATTGAAGATGATAAAACGAAGAGGGAGAAAACGAAAATCCAGATTCTGTTGACCATTTGGTGAGAGCGTTCAGTGACAGTTGAAGAAAATGAGAGGTTGTTTCAATTTGAGACCCACTGCAGTAAATATTGCAATCGTCGGCGAAAAGAATGTACTTCACAGGCTTAGCGTGACTCTTTTCTTAGTCGCCATAAATTACATTTGTAAGAGTCTCCCTAAGTCTGTGAAGTACATTCTTTACTATTATTCTTAAAACTTAAAATCTCGTAACTATCCAAATAAAATTCAATTACCTAATTTTTATTTTTACTATATAATTTCTCTGATAACATAACCCCTATATGTAATTTTCTCCTATTCTTAAAACTTAAAATCTCGTAACTATCCAAACAAAATTCAACTACCTAATTTTTATTTTTACTATATAATTACTCTTATTCTTAATACTTAATATATATCATGTATATCATTAATCTTAAATAATAAAAAAAAATCTCAATTATTCTTAACACGGCTACACTTTAATTTTATTATTTTCCTACGCTTCAACTAACCAAACTTAATAACTAATAACAAAATAAAAATCTAAACCAATCGTAAATATCTGTAACTTCAACTACTTAAGAGCTTCGGCGCCTCCACCAATATGTAACGTGGTCGGGGATGGCCCGTTAAATATAAGATATTCAGGGAAGAAATTAATTCTTTTGAATATATTTTTACCGTAGCTCGGGAGCACGAATGGTATTAGGATCTTAATATTACAAGTAAATAACGATTGATCTAAATTATTATTAATATAAACAAATTATTTATTATAACTTACAATTTACGAACAAAGTTACCAAAAATGTAGGATTGTACGGAGTTCAGGTGCACGTGATGGACTCACGGAGAACTGGTATTCTCTTACATAGGGATATTGGCCGGAGCCTTACAATCATAAAATATATATGTGTCACCTAACCCGGAGGGGCTTAATATATTATTATAGTCAGCGCATAATATGCCTAATGTGCATATTATGATGCTTATAAAATAAACGTAATGATGTAACATACGTTACACCAGAAACTATAAATGTTATTGATGAATCACAGTTATTTGATGAAATAACTCTACTCAAAAGTAATTCAAATAATGTTACTATAGAAAATAAGTCTTTGGAAGAAATTTGGGTAGAAATTTTCAAAGTCAGTTCTGAATGTGCTAATATTGATTTAAAAAATATAAAAAAGATTGTTGAGTTTTTGCTTTGTATACCTGGCACTATTGCATCAGTAGACAGAGTTTTTTCTCAAATGAATTGTTTATGGACTGATCAAAAAAATCGTCTAAACATAGCGACAGTTAAAGCTATGCTTACTGTAAAAATGTTTTTCAAAGAAAATTGTGCTGAGTTTCATGCATTATTATCTACTAATGAAAATTTATTGAAACAAATTCAGTCATCTCAAAAATATGAAGAAAATCTGAAATAGTGACATAAGAGAAAACTAAAAAAAGTCCGAATCATAACTAAGTACAAAGTTTTTAAATTTCTATTTTTTAATAACAGTATATATTGGTTTTTTTTCTTTACAATTTTTTGCATGTGAATATTTATAATTTTTTTGTTTAATAGTATTCAAGTTTTAAAGACTGAGGTATAGGCCTACCGTTAAGTTTTAAAATTATATTTTAATTGTTTTCTTAAGCATATTGTTATTTATTACTAAAATGTTAAGAAAGATCCTTAACTCTTGAGTCTTAACTATAACTCAATCATTTACCAAATAAAATATTTGTGATCATTTTAATCTTTAAATTATCTGTATAAGTTTATACAATTCTAATTTTATGATTAATAATGTTA